ACAAGAAGCAGTACATGATGCTCGAGAAGTCGTCACGATCTATAAGCTACAGTGGGGCTGTGGTATCTAGAGACTCTACGAGCCGCCATATCGGGTCGTACACAAGGCATTACTATTGAGAAAAGGTTAGCAGCATCATTGCGCAAGCACACGTTGCTGGGTTGATGTTCTCCGCGAGTACGCTCGAGTTCAATGCCCAGCTCTCTGGACTCGGCGCTAACGATTCTAATTGGCCAAAAAAACAGCGTGAGCGGGCCAAACTGACCAGTGCGGGTGTTGCGTTCGTGCAGTGCAACACCCGCATTGGCTACAAGGGTTTTGCGCTCGTTCATTGGTAGAAATTCGAGCTTATAGGCACGTTTTTAAGGTACCACAGAGGTATACAAAAACCAGCATGAAAACAAGAGCTGAATGCCAAGTTGCACAATTGCCGCGCGCACAGCACCGCTTGCATAGTACCGCTTGCACAAGATCGCCACGTCATATCGAACTTCCTCCTTCTTCTCTTCTCTTTCTTCGATTTAACAGGCACACGTGTGTTATAGTCCCACCATTTAAGGGGCAGTCGCCCCTTGTGACGGGCACACGAGGTTGAATCATAGAAGTTACACTTTCTGCTTGGTTCCTAGCCTTGCCGCGCTTGGGGCTTGGAAATGATGAGCTCGAGGGGTTTTAGCTCTGACAAGTGATATGACAAGGGATGTCATGCGCCTGGTGGGATGTTTTGGTATGCATGCCGGCGAAAACCGGTATTAGCGCACACAGCGATTATCACGATATGGAGGTATGTCGCTGACCTAACCCAGCCTGTTGTTACCGCCGCATGTTGTATTACTTTGCGTGCTGCAGGAGTTCATCTCAGCGGCACTTCCGGCACGGCACATGCTCGGCGTTTGTTTCAATCGCCAAGATACGATGAGGCTCATCCATCGGCCGAGTCTCTCGCTCCAAAGCGCTACCTTTGCGCCGCGTTCTGGACCGAGCTGCACCTACAGCACACCAGCGATTTGACTCTTCCACATGATGATCGCCATGCGCTCTGCGCTCTGTTACTACACATGTCATCCCTGTTCATACTCCAAAGCAGTTCAGTTTAAAACGTCTCCTAGCGGACTCCCGTCTCAACGTGTCCAAGCTCAATTTTGGGCCACGACTGATAGCTATCACAGGAATGATCGCTACGATGTTACGCATTGCACAAGCGAGAAGGTATCGCTCGACACCGAAGCATGAACCGAAGCGACATTGGTGCGAATTCAAGGGTCCGTTTCCGCCGTGTTCAGGATGACAGACACAGACACTGACGTTGAGCTGCTTTCATTCGATGGAGAACGCCACGATCATATATATCATGAAGGAGTTCGTGGTCTCACTTACGAGTTTTGGGCTTCGCGTGCTATCAGCTTGCATATACCAGCCGCCATGTGATAGCCCCATACGACTGGAATCGCCCAAAAGCAACCACCACAACCCGGCGCTACCTGGCACTGATACCCAGAAGCCCGACGCGGACTTCGTCATTTCCATTTTGCGCAATGCACTCACACGAGCCTCTTCCGGTCACCGCGTCCGAGCTGCCACAAGAGCCGGCGACTCCGATCGGCGACAACGACCTCCTCCTCGCCAAGCCGTTGGTCGTCGCCAAGGCGCCGTCGCACAGCTACCGGCCCGACATTGACGGTCTCCGGACGCTCGCGGTCGTCCCCGTCGTGCTCTTCCACGCGTACCCTGCGGCTTTTCCCGGCGGCTTTATTGGCGTCGACGTCTTCTTTGTCATCTCTGGCTTTCTCATCTCCGGCATCCTCTTCAAGCAGTGCCGCAACGACACCTTTACGTACGCAGGCTTTTACGTCCGGCGCGTCCGGCGCATCTTCCCGACGCTGATTCTCGTCTTGAGCGCGACGTTCTGGCTCGGGTACCTCTACCTCATGGCGCCCAAGCTCAAGGCAATGGCAGCGACGATGCTGGCGGGTGCACTCTTTAGCGCCAACCTCCAAGTGCTCTCGCTCACGCACTCGTACTTTGACATTGACGTCAAGACCAACCCGCTCTTGCACCTCTGGTCGCTCGGCGTCGAGGAGCAATTCTACATCTTTTGGCCGCTGCTCGCGTCCATCGTCATGCGTCTCCGCTACCGCAAGGCGATCGCACTGCAGCTAGCCGTCGTCGTCGTCAGCTTTGGCATCAATGTGAGTCTTCTCGGCGTCCAAGGCAGCAACAAGTGGTCGTTTTACATGCCACTGAGCCGGTTCTGGCAGATGGCGCTCGGTGGTCTCCTCGCCTACCTCCACTGCGCAACGACCGTTGAACTCGAGCCCGAGACAGAGACCGAACCTGAGACCGAACAAGAAACCTCGGTCCTCGAGCATGCGGTGCAGCGCGTCGCAGCCATGTACGTCGCCGCGGCGCCGTCAGGCCGCGACCAAGTCGTGTCGGTTGCCGGGCTCGGACTCATCCTCCTCGGCTTTGCCAGCGTGAACGAAGACCGGCTCTTCCCGGGGTTCTGGGCTCTTCTCCCGACGCTCGGCGCCACGCTGCTTATCGCCGCCGGTCCCGACGCCACCTTCAACAAGCATGTCTTGAGCCACCCGCTGCTCGTGTACATTGGCAAGATCAGCTACTGCCTGTACCTCTGGCACTGGCCGCTGCTCGTCTTTGCCATCGAGCGGTACCCGGACGCGAGCAGCCGCCCGACGTACATGGCGCCGTGGGTCATGCTCGGCATCTCGCTGCTGCTGAGCGTGCTCACGTACGAAGATGTCGAGAAGCGGCTCCGGCGCCGCACGTCCAAGCTCGTGACGCCGCTCCTCGTGCTCTGCGTTCTGGCGCTTGGGGTCCTCGCAGCGCTCGCGTATGCGTCGCCGTCGCACTACTCGGCCATCGAGCTCGACTTGGCGTCCAGTATAGACGTTGTAGCCTCGGACGAGGTGGCGCTGGACACGGTCTTTGTTCCGCAGGTGGATGCGAGCGCGGTGGTCGCGACAACAGCAGCGCCGGCAGGCGTGGTGCCGATGGCGACTTTGGCGGCGGCAGTCGCGCAAATGAACGCATCGTCGGCGATCGCAACATCGAATTCATCCACGGATCTTGCCCGCAGCACGATTGCGCCGACGGCGGCCGTTACCGAGGTCAAGGTGACGACGGCAGCTCCTGAGAGTAAGGCGACAACGGCGCCAACGTCTGCAGTCCCCAAGCACGTAGCCAAGACGACGGTCAAGATGGCCCGTCACGCTATTACCGACGGTGAATGGGACAAGCAGATTCCTGGCTACTGCCCGACGGACACGCCGTACATCACAACCGCCAAACTGCGCGAGCCATTTCCGTTCAAGGACCCGACGTATGCAGGGTACCCAGAGCGATGCCAGGTTATCAACCCCGGTCATGAAGCCAACGGAGTCGTGGTCGTCCTCGGTGACTCTCATGGAGACATGTCCAAGCCTCGCTTTGCGCAGCTCTTCGACGAGAGTATTGTGGCCAAGACGTCGTTCCCGACGATCGTCTTCAAGACCCGCTGGGGCCGCGCGATGCTGCCGTGCCGCCCCGAGTTCGCCCAGAACATTGAGATGCTCAAGACGCTCAAGCCGACTGTTGTGCTCTTTGTCGTGCACTGGGTGCAGTACCTCAACCCTGGCGCTCCGAAAGACGAGCCGGCAAGCCACCCACCGACCTGCTGCTTGTACGAAGGCGCCGCATGTAAAGAACAGAGCTTGGCCGACGTGGACGCGATTCTAGCAGAGTTCCAGAGCCAGCTGCGGGCCGTCGCCGATCTCGGCGTCAAGGTCTTTGTCGTCGACCAGAGTCCCGAGTACGCGCGCATGAACCCAAAGTCGTGGATTCAAGGCGACACGGTCAAGCTTCCCGCGCCCGTGAGCCGCGCGGCCTTTCGAAGGGAGATGGCGTGGCTCTTTGACCGCTTGCACCCGGCCTTCACAGCGGCCAACGCTACGGTGCTCGACTATGCGGACGACTACTCGGACGGCGACAAGATCATGATGGCGGACGCGTATGGCGAGCCCACGATGTGTTCTGGCGGCCACCTCACGACGTACACTGCGCGCAAGCATCTCCACGTGCTGGACCAGGTCGTGCAGGCTGCATTGGCCGTCTAAGCTTGGCCGTAGCTCCAATTCGTTGCACGCACTGGTGTAAATGTAGATTAGTCAATAGAAGACCCTTTTTGATAACGCGACGTGTCCGATGGACAAAAGGACATGATAAAACATGTGGAATTCGCTTATGTAGTACCTGCGCCCTTTCGACCGAGGACGGTTACCTCAGCCTTCATTTGTCGCGGAGGGCATGGTAGCAACGGTACGCTCGATGGTCTCCGAGTTGTGGCTCACGCTCCGTAGCTCCACGAGCAGCTGTATCACGCAGCGCGGTCTGGCGACCACAGCGCCGTCTCGGTCGCCCTCAAGCGCGGGGCCAACGCCAACGCCGAGACCGAGGTCGGGTCACACCCTCAGAGCACGAATGCAATTCGAGCGCGTAGGGCTGGACACCACTGCTGCGCGCAGCTCAAAATGGCCACAGCCTCGTCGTGCACTTCCTCTTGCGGTCGATGTCCGACGTCAACAAGCCCACGAGCGTAGAAACGGCGACAAGACCAACTCGATCCGACGTGTGCGAATGTGTAGGATGGGGCCACGCCATTGTACATGGCGAGCCAGAATGGCCATGTCAGCGTTGTCGCGTTGCTCATCCAGGCCAATGCCGCGGTCGATCAGAGCAAGAAGGCGCGATTTAAGAACTCTGTATTTGCGTCACAGTGTTTTAGGATGGTGCCACGCCTCTGTATGTCGCTGCTCAAAACGGTTTTGACGCAATTGTCGAGCTCCTTTTGCAGTCGGACGCCAACGCCAACGCCCGAAAGCTCGTACGTCGAGTGTGGCTTCTTCGAATCCACTCATCGTTTCTCCAGTCGGGGTCGACGCCGCTGTACGTGGCGGCCCAGAATGGTCGCGGAGGCATCTTGAAGCAATTGCTGCAAGCGGGGGCCGATGTCAACCTCGGCAACAACGTACGCTCGCACCCTTGGCTCCGCATCCGAGGGCACGTGTCTAGGAAAACGCAACACCGCTGTATGTGGCAGCGGCCAAGGGCCACGCGACGGTGGTTGCCATGCTCGTGCAAGCAGGGGCCGACCTCACCAAGAAGAAACAAGTCATTTGGTTGCCATGGGTCTCGGAAACGACAGGGCAATTGTAGGCGGGGACCACGCCCCTGATTGCAGCGGCCTTCAACGGCCACAGCAACATTGTGGCCTTGCTCATGGAGGCGGGCTCGGACGAGGGACCTGTGGTACGACACCGAGAGCGTTCATTGGCGTCTCTATGGGGCGGGTCGTAGGACGACTGGACGCCTGTCTGGGCCGCTGCGTTTAGCGGTCACACGAATGTGCTGCAGAGCCTCATCCTCGCCAAGGCCGATTTGAACAAGTGCGACAAGGTATTTTCTCGGGAGGAAGAGTTGGAAGCATCCGATATAGGACGGATGGACACCATTGTGTGTGGCAGCACTCAATGGGCACGCCAACGCCGTTCGGGTTCTTTTGGACGCGGGGGCTGACATTGACCGCGCCACCAATGTACGTTTGTATACTATAGATTTGCTCTTTCAACGGGAATATTGTCGACAGTTTGGCGCCACGCCGCTGTACATTGCGGCGCAGAATGGGCACGAACACGTCGTCAAGGTGTTCATCGAGGCCCGATCCCACATCAACCAGAGTCAGCGCGTACGTGCCTTGATGATTTCAAAGCATTTATAGCAAGCTAGTCGGGCGCGACACCGCTCTACGTGGCAGCCCAAAACGGGCACGCCAACGTCGTTGCCCAGCTTATTGCTGCGAACGCGGATGTCAACAAAGGCGCCGAGGTAGTCGCGGGATTGGCTGCGCCATGCCTACGTATGTGCTAGCTGGGTGCAACACCGCTGTACATTGCAGCACAGCACGGCCACAATCCAGTTGTGGCCCTTCTCCTCAACGCAAAAGCTATTGTCGACCAAGCCACTCATGTAGTGTTGCATGCGACCAAGATCGACAACATAAATTTCACGTAGACGGGCGCGACCGCGCTGTACGTGGCTGCGCAGAATGGCAACGCGGCGCTCGCCAAGCTCCTCGTGCAGGCCAGGACAGACGTCAACAAGACGTTCAAAGTTGGTCGCCACAGGATTATCGCGCTTATGAGAACTGTAGCAAGGGGTGTCGCCGTTGTGGGTTGCCGCCTCCAAAGGGCACGTCTCAGTTGTCGCTGTGCTCATCCAAGCAAATGCGAACCTCGACCTTTGCAACGCCGTACGATCGCACGCTCTATATACGCGATACCATCGAGCGGCGTAGGACGGGCGATCGCCGCTTTGGATCGCCGCCTTCAAGGGGTTTGCACCGGTCGTGTCGCTTCTCATAAAGTCTGGCGCCCAAATCAACCTCGCCGACACCTCGGTAAAAGAATCTCTCTCGTTCGCGCCCTGAGGCGCTTCTAGGTTGGTGCGACGCCGCTCTATGTGGCAGCGCACAAGGGTCACGATGCTGTCATCTCGGTGCTGCTGCAAGGCGGCGCCGCCGTCAACCAAGCCGCTTCGGTACGCGTCGGTTCCCTTTCAGCGCGTATGTAGATCCATCTAGGATGGCTGCACGCCGCTGTCGACGGCGGCTTTCAACGGGCTTGTCTCGGCGGTGGCGCTCTTGGTCGCAGCGCAGGCCGATGTGGATCTGGCCAAGCATGTTGGTGCTAGCGCGTATCGTCGTTGTTTGTCAAGGCGAGATACGGCGTAGGACGGCACGACACCAACGTACGTGGCAGCACAGAACGGCCACACCGCCGTCGTCGAGGCCCTTCTCAGCGCCAAGGCCAACGCCAACACGAGCCATAAAGTACCCAACTTGATCGTCCAATATTTCATGTGAAGTCGTAGGATGGACGCACACCTCTGTGGATGGCTGTTTGCAACGGTCACGAAGACGTGGTCCGCCACCTTGTGCAGGCCGCCGCCGACGTCGACAAAAGCCACAAGGTGCGGCGCATCGATCGTAAACAAGCACTACAATTGGCCTAGGACGGGCGCACCCCGTTGTGGATGGCGGCCTTCACGGGCCAGAAAGCCTTGGCGCAGCTGCTTTTGGACGCTGGCGCCGATCCCAACAAGAGCCACTGAGACAAGCGCGCCCTAACACATTTTGTTTCTCAGGCCCGTTGGCTGTAGGACGGCCGGTCCCCGCTTTGGATGGCGTCCTTCAATGGCTTTGGCGATGTTGTCGACGCCATCGTGCTTGCCAAGGCGGACATCAACAAGCCGCACAAGGTGCACACTCGCTTACGTTCGCCTCTTACGCCTGCAGGTGGGCGCGACGCCGCTGTACGTGGCGGCCAACCAAGGCCACGCCAACATTGTCCAAGCCTTGCTCGCCGCCTG